TCTCTAAAGATGATGTCTGTTTTCAATTGAAAAGCAGAGTTGAGACAACATTGTCCAGTCGGGTCTAGGAGTCTCCACTGGTTAAAAGCCATCTTTAGAGGCATCAGCACACCATTTCTCAATCCGCTCTTTCATTTGAGCCCAAAAAAACATTCATATCTTGTCTGACATCTCTGTTATAAACTCTGGTTTTCCATTAGAAATTTAGTAGAATCAGCCAAAAATTAACAAATTTTTTTATAGAAATTCCCTTGAAATGCAATCGAATGTGCGTAATTAAAACCCTTTGGATACGAATCGAACGAGTGCCGGTTCCTGTTGACTTGACTCGCAACTTTCCATCGAATTCTCTCGATCGGTAATGCCACAATCGATCGATAATCTACCACAAATTCCCAGAAACAAAAAAAACTACTGAGGAACATTCCCACGATATAATTGCGAGTGCAAACTTCTAAGCAACTGTGGATTCCAAGTGCCAATTAGAGGGAAATGGGGAGGGATGCGGTGGATGGAAACAATGAGCAGAGGCAGTCGATAATGTCGTTACGTCAGGCGTATTTTCCTGTTGTACCTGGTAAAAGGGTAATTGCGAGGAGTTTAAAGCTTGTTGACGCTTGTTGTTTCCGCTTCTTATTGCTTGCTATTATTTTTGAATTGGTGGGATGATTCATTGTTTTCGCTACGCATTGGGAAAATGCTGGATGTGTTACATTGTCTAATGGGAGTAATTAAAAGTCTGAGAGTCTCAAGAAGTTTTTATAGAAGAAAAAACCATATTTAATTATGAGAATCCTCAAGATTAAATATTAGATCGATCAAATGATCGTAACATCGACGATTTCATTTAGTTTTGGGGGGTTGTCAAATCTCAAAATAAAGAAAAAGTAACAGCGTTTTCATTCCCATAGGATTAGATAAGTTTTTTGTTACCATTTGAAGAAATATTTTATTGTCAATCGGATTTTTGCGGGGAATTAACTGTTGGGTGGTTGAGCAGATCAATTTGACAAAACCCCGCTGATCGAGCCATAGACGATTGTACGAAAAAAGGCTCTTGAAAAAATTTTGTAATATTTTGAAGAATTTTTTGACCACACTTTTATGATAAATTACTAATCGCTTACGCCAATCTCCTCAATTGAAAATTGTACTGTCCATCAACTGTCGCTTTGGCAGAGGCGCAAAAAAGAAAGAGCGATTTTCCTGTTTTCAATTGCCGAGAAAAATGACCGCTGATCGCCAGTACAAGTATCAATGGAGGAGATTGGCGCACTGATAGAATGATTCATTTATTCCAAACGAAATTCGTTAACTATTAACGAATGGTAGAGTTGAATATGACCAAATGAATATTCGTTAATAGTTAACGAATGGTTCACTTGAATGGCGAAAGTCAAGTAAAACAAGGCTCCTCAAATGTACATTCGTTAACTATTAACGAATGAACATTTGGTGGAACCGAATAGACCCTAACCTCCAACCAAAATCCATTCGTTAACAATAACTAATCCGTTCTATCAGTGCGTAAGTGATTAGTAATTCATCGTAAAAAAGCCTTTTCTCGTACAATCGTCTTGTTGCAGTGAGCCAAAGGATTTATCCCTAATCTGGTCACAAAACGTGACCAAAGTGGACACGTCCGCGGGGATTCCCCGCCGAGTTTTTTGGGCTTTAGCGTTGCCGATTTCACTCTACACTGCTCGGGCGTGTTTAGCGAGTTTTCGGCAACGTCGCGTCATGGGCTATTTCATTGTACATGAGAAAAAATCATTCATCCGTCCGAAATAATGTGTTTTCTTTAGGAATTTTGGGAAATATGTTGTTCTAAAAACTAGGGGAAGGTAAGGGAAAACGGACCACTGACAAAAAATTGATAATTTTTGTATTTGCTCCCGAATGGAAGCTTTGTAATCATATGTTTTTTCGATTTCTTAATTTTGGGTGAAAATGCCTAGAAATGTGACGACACTTCTTGTCTATGAAACCCCTTCGACAGTTACGATCCAAGAAACTCACTTGTAATTCAATACATCATTGTTCCTAATTTGAAGGAAAGAAAAAAAAACAACAATTAGCAATTTTCTGTCAGTGGTCCGTTTTGCCCTGCGGTCCGTTTTGCCATACCCTCCCCTACTATGATTTTTTAGTCACTTCAATTGATGAAGTCAAATTTTTTTCAATTTTTCCGGTTCGCCAGTCCACTGTAATTAAAGAAAAAAGACGTGCGGCGGGTTTCCCTCGCAGAGTGACCAATCTAGAGTTTTTATTTCTTTTATTAATTCAATATTAATTAAAAATGCTCCTTCAAAATATTCAGAATTTTTTTCACTTTTTTTCAATCTAAATTTCACATGTGCGGGTGTCCCTGAGTGACGGGGAGAATTGAAATTTCGAGATAAAAATCGAACAAAAAAATTCATTTCGATAACGACCGAAAGATAATGGGGCCGGGCCTTAATTGAAAAAAAGAATATCGAATCTGACAGGATTGAGGACACAATGAGAGGGCATCAGCAATCGCGGTTCACCGGGGCTCGTTCAAATAAACCATTTCTCGTGAATGTTCAAAAATTAAGTTTTTTTTTTTCAAAATACCATTTGAACGAGCCTGACCCAGCCGTCAATTTTTTTAAAGCTTTCTCACGCAATGATTGGCAAATTTGATAATTGAAAATTCCTACACTTATCGTGTGGTCTCAATCCTGCAATTATATCTCCCTCGTCGTAATATACATTCATCACTGCTCGATATATTCGAAATTATTGGGCAGAGGAACCTGTCAAATTACCGACTCAGCGCCCAATAATTGACCACCAATTTCAAACCCATTTGAAAATTGCGCAACGTCTCAATTTTCAGGTGAAAAAATGACACAGTTTATCCCGACCTTGCAATTAATACGTTACATAATTACTCAGTCGATGGCTGAATTATTCCAGTCATGTCCCATTAAGAAGTTTCCAGGTTTTCCAAGGATTTAGATAAGATTCCTATCCACGGCAATATCAAGATCCGTTTATAACTGAACGAAACAAGTACGCGACAACACGTATGCGACTGCAGATGTGTTACCAAGTCGTATGTAAGTCTCTTTTTTTGCCATTAATAAATTGATGGTAACCTTCCGAATGATTTGGGCAGGATATTTTTTTTAGTAGAAACTTGTACCAAATTTCGAGTTAATGTCTTGTTTTTTTTCAAGAGTTAAAACTCCTGCAGGCATTTTGAATGAACGAATGCAAATATTACGAATCGAGTCTCCATAATTTCCCGATTTTTTAATGAAAAAATTTCAGCTAATTATTTAATAAGTGGTATATGCTAGACTCCAACTTAGGGCATAAATCAGAACGAATTATTCGACTTGGGCAACTCCTTGGAAAACCTGGAAATCTCCGAAACTAGACATAACTAGAATCATTCCGTCAGGACACGTAGGAATAAATTTAATAGAAAATCTAACGAATTCGCTAGAAAATTCTATTGGAATTCTATGGGGTTTCTATAGAATTTCCATTCTATTGGAATTCTATTGAAAAATTCTATTTGTTTTTTGCGCTGATTCTATTGGATATTCGATAAGAAAAAGTCAATAGATTTCGAATTTCTGTTAATAGACTCTAAACGCAAGGCCTAAACCAGAACCAAATATTCGACTTGGACAACTCCTTGGAAAACCTGGAAACCTAAACTAGACATAACTAGATTCATTCCGTCAGGACACGTATGAAAAAATTCAATAGAAAATCTAACGAATTCTAGAAAATTCTATTGGAATTCTATGGGGTTTTTATAGAATTTCCATTCTATTGGAATTCTATTGAAAAATTCTATTTGTTTTTTGCGCTGATTGTATTGGATATTCGATAAGAAAATGTCAATAAATTTCGAATTTCTGTTAAAATGTTTGTCTTGAGATTTTTTCTCAGAATTCTTGGGCATCAATTTTCTAGTTTTCTCCACTCGAATTTTACAATGCAAAACGAAACAAAATCCAGCGGAAAAAACTTGAAAAATTTTGTGCCCAATTATTCTAATAGAAAAAATTTAAGGGAAAAATTCAAACAGAAATTCGAAATCTATTGACTTTTTCTTGTTGAATATCCAATAGAATTAGCACAAAAAACAAATAGAATTTTTGAATAGAATTCCAATAGGAATCCTATAGAATTTCGTAGCAAATTCGCTAGGTTTTCTATTTAATTTTTTCATGCGTGGACTTTTCACCTCAAAATATTCGACTGAGGATTCTGTAGAATTGAGGAGAGAAACACTCACGTAGCCTCGACTGCGGCTCCTCCAACTCCTCACTGATTGCATCCCGAAGGTCCGGATCATGCACCGGATACACTGTCGCCACGTTCATGGCATTGGGAGCGGCGGACGCCGGTGCAGTCCGCTGTAAGCCACGAAAAATTCACAATCATTGGACGAATTCGTCTCTTTGAGTAAAAAAAATTGACTGATTGAGTTGGGATCAACCTCGTTGGTTAAGTCCTCGAATATTCTCATCTTCTTTAAACTCTTCATCACGCATGTACTGCAACATCTACTCCATTCCACTCAAAATCATTACAACACAGCTTGAAGTAATGAGCGAATCGAATTCACGGTCTTTTCTCAACAGTCATTTTTTTCCTTGTCATTTCCGTCTCGATTTGAAAATGACTTCGTTAATCACTTGGGAGATCATTCGACGTCTAATTAAAAATCTAATCGCAGGAAAAAATCTGATTTTTGCTTCAAATTCAGTCAGTGATGAATTCACAAACGACGAAATCGTATTAAAAAATTGTAATTTTAATTGAAAAAAAAACGTATTTGAAGTTTTTTTCTTTATTTTTTAAATGTCTCATTTATTTTTTCATTCATTTCAAAAATTTGTAAAGTAAATAGGAAGATGATTTTTCAAAAGTCTTGGATTTTTGTCGAATTATAAAGGTCAATGGACATATTTAAAAAAAAATTTTTAATAAGAATGAGAATGATAGAAGAAACAGAATAAAAATAATCGAATTGAGTTGGGGAAAGTGCGGAAAAATCTAGAGACAATATTACCACGAAGGCAACTCGATTTAAAAATAACTTTTAATCACTTGGGAAATTATTCGACGCCTAATAAAAAATCTAATTTTATGGGAAAACTTGATTTTGCTTAAAATGCAATCAGTGATGAATTTACAAACAACGAAATTGTATTAAAAATTATAATTTCAACGTCTCTCATTTTTTCATTCTTTTAAAAAATGTATGAAGTAAATATGAAAATAATTTTTCAAAAATCTTGGATTTTTGTCAAATTATAAGGGTCAATGGACATATTTTACAAGAAGATTTTAATAAGAATGAGAATGATAGAATAAACAGAATAAAAATAATCGAATTGAGTTGGGGAAAAATTTAGAGGCAATATTACCACGAAGGCGACGCGTTTCGGGTCAGCCAGGCGCGAATGAAAAACAGCGAAGTCGCGCCAAAGTTGCAGATAGGAGTTGCGTTTACCTACTGGAGACGTTGATAAAGGCGAAGGCATCCCCCTGGACGGTCGGTGGCCGCGTTCGCCTCCTGGCGCACCTTTTTACACGGATAAACCGTCATTCGGATATGCTGGGGCTATACTGTCTGCTCCACTTCACGGCCTATTAACATAACGATCATTTTTTAAACGAGGAAAATACCGCTTTCTGGTAGGTCAAGACGCCGTGCATAAATCATGGGACGTGAATTCCGGAATGAATTAGGAATTCGCATTTGAATTATATTTTTTCGTGATACTAGGAGATTCCATTCTCGTACAAAATCCTCCAGACAAAATTTTCTGTAAATATCTTTCAATACAAAAAGTTCCAGTGAAAATCAGACAACTCAATCTTACGTGTTTCAAGAGATTTCATCAAATACGAATTTTTTTCATTTTAAAATTTTTTTTCATTGTTTTCTTTTAATTAAAAAATGGAGACCACTAAATTATATTCAACTTAATCTTTTTATTAAAAAAAATCATTATTGGAAATTAGAGGCTTGAAATTCAATGATTCATTGATTTGAATTGAAATTAATTTTTTATTTTAAGTTCAAATTTCAAATTTTTTAAACATTTTTTTTCTGTCTTTTGAATATTGAAAACAGGGAGTTTCTGTCACGGGAGAAATTGTCCGTCTACTTTTTTTTTATCATTCCTTCCATGAAAATTTCAACTAACTTTGTAATTTTTTTTTTTTTCAAGGATATAGAAACCTGAGTCCAACTATATTCTTTGATAATTTTCTCCGTTTCGTGCTTTGGTATACAGAACTCATCAGAAACGAAGAAAGTATATGCTTTTCTTCGTGTGGATAATCTCAATTGATTAATGAAGCATTTCTTGATAGTAATTCAATTCAGAGTAGTTTTTTACGTGTTCCTGTGATTATTTTGTTATCAGTATAAATCTCGCTTTTTTTCGTTTTCATATGTATATATTGTAAAGTTATTATGAATGTATCGGAAAAAAAATGAACGGAGAAATGGAGAAATCTTTTGAGCGAATACTTATTCATCTGAGAAATATGTCAAAAGCTACTGCGGAAGAAATCGCTGATAAGAAACTCGGCATTTCTTTCCAAAGGTTAAAGTAGTATAAATATATCTCAAATTTTCAAGATTAAAATCTGAAACAAATTTTAAACGGGAGTCAATATAAATAGAAACATTCTAGTTGAGTTTGTGTTCAATCGGCAGTCTAGTATCACTCATAATAATTAATTTAGAAGTGAAAAAATAGAACAGAGTCTTACGAGACAATGAACATGAAAATGAACAAGATTAACAGAAGACAATAACCTAAAAAAAATTTTGAAAAATCAGGAAAAAAATTTAGGCCCATTATGGGTCATGACATGGGGAACGAAATATTTTCGAATGCACAGTCTTGCTACTGATGAAAACGCTCTAGTCAAATGAGAGACTATTGATTAACAAAATAATTGAAGTATGAATGTGATGAATGCAAGAAATTAATGCATCAATGCATCAAATTAATAATAACGGAATAAATGCATCAAATTCTTGTTAAAGAATACAAACAAAAACTCATTTCATCTCTCATAAAAAATCAACTTTTCATTTATTCTTGTTAAGGGGGGGCTCACCACTTTTTTCAAGTCCCAGAAATATTTGACGGACAATTTTGTCAATTTTTTTATACGTTTTTTTAGGTATGAAAAAAGTGGAAGCATGAGTCATCACATTATCTCAATTTTACGACCCTATTTGTTTATTTTTCCTATATAAGGAGATGAGCAAATCCAAATCCCATGTGATTGATTTTGCGGGAGATTATGCCCAGTACAAAACATTGACAAACCTTCCAAATCCCCAGTATTTATTTGCAATGGCTCCCATTAAAAATGAATGGAACTGTTCTTTCGCGACAACGAAACCGTTGAACTCGGAAGTAGTTAAAGTAATTCGTAATCAGACGAGACTAAAGTGCCTCTTAATCGTGAATTATTCCAGAAAAATGGGATTTGCAACTAAAACCCTTTCGATCTAAAAATACCTCTCGTCATTTCCTTCTAAAATAACTAATTATCAGTCATTGCATATTAATTTATTTGTGAGAAGTCTATTTATTCCATTACGTTGTACCACTTTCAAATCGAAGCAATTAGATTTTTTTTTTTAAATCGCATACAATCTAACAATTATGATCAACATATTATCAAGATATTATCATGTACCTACTGATAATTAATAAAGAAAACTTGATATTTTAAAGTAATTAGAGTAATTAATAATTGGAGCAGCGTAATAATTAATTTTAAAAAAAATTCACGGCTAAAAATTTTTTACCAAAAAATAGCTCTTGTCATTACCTCCTACAATGACTCATTATCGATCATTAAATATTCATCGAGCTGTGGAAAATTGATGCATTTACGTTAACCACTTCACTCTGGAATGGAACCCATTATCGAACCTAACGGCATTTTTTTCATTCACTTCTGTCAAAATGACACACAGAGATGACTTAGATTGACAAACCTTCCGAATCCCCAGCATTTATTTGCAACGGCTCCAATGACAAATGCAAGAGAAAAGTTTTGCATTAACGGATGTAGAATTGATGAAAATATTCTCTCGCGAAAACAAAACCATTGAACTCGGAAGTAGTTAAAGTAATTCATAATCAGACGAAACGAAAGTGCCTACAGATGACATTGATTAATTAATTAATTAAGAAAGCATGATATTTTGAAGTAATTAGAGTAATCAATAATTAAAAAAGCTTAATAACTCAAAGAAAATCACAGCTAAAAATATTCCACCAAAAAATAGCTCTTGTCATTACCTCCTACAATGACTCATTATCAATCATTAAATATTTATCGACCTGTGGAAAATTGATGCATTGACGTTGACCACTTCACTCTGAAATTGAACCGATTATCAAACCGAATAGCATTTTTTTTCACTCACTCTGGCAAATTGACACACAGAGATGACTTAGATTGACAAACCTTCCGAATCCCCAGCATTTATTTGCAACGGCTCCAGTGACAAATGCAAGAGAAAAGTTTTGCATTAACGCATCTAGAATCAGTGAAAACGTTCTGTCGCGAAAACAAATTTCGCGGACACGAGGGAAAAAAATATATTCACTGTTTGACATCCAGTTATCCACTGTTTCCTGGCGTTCCACCTGCGATACACGTGACTTAACTACCCTTGACATTGGTATAGCCCAGGAGTTCAGTCCTGCAGAGCAATTCACTCGTACCTGCGTGACAGTTTCATTCATATACACCATTTCCTGCTTCATTCGTTGACATGATTCGAGTTTTAATATCCACTGATAAATATCGTAATTTAAGTTTCATTATTCACTGATATTCATCAGATATCATTGCCTATTCAGTGCATATTTTATGGATATCCAGAGAAATGACGCATTTCAATGAAATGAAACTGTTCATTTGAAATTTTTCTACTCCTTTTAACAATATTTTTCTTGGAGATCAATGATAATTATTCATTTCTATAAAAATGTTCTAATTTTGGGAAATTAATAATTCATTTCAAATCAATTTTCTATTAAAATCAAATAATATAACATAACGTGTTGAAAATTTAATTTATTTGGGTCATGGAAACTTTAGTTTAATTGAAATAACCTATTTGTTCAATTTCAATAAAAACGAAAATAAAAGGTTTGAGTTTGACATAAATATATGAGTTGAAATTCAGTATGTTATTGAACTCAATAGACAAGTTTCAAATAGTTTTATTTGATTTAAATGGATCATTTCTCTTGGGGTAACAAATATCAAATGCAATTCCCCTAAATTTCAAAAAATTTAAGCTAAATTAAATTATAAATAATAATTATTGATGATTTAATTATCAAACGAACATTAAAATCACCTCTGTAAGTTTTAATATCCACTGATATTCATTAGATACCATTACCTATTAATTGTATTTTTTATAGCTATACAGAGAAATAACACATTTGAACAAAATAAAACTCTTTATTTTGAAATTTTTCCATTCATTTTATTAATATTGTTCTCGGGAATCAATAAAAATTATTGATTTCAATGAAAATGTTGTAATTATCTCAAATTAATGATTAAAATCAATATTAAATCAATCATTACTCGTACTGCAAAATTAATTTATTCGGATAAAGGAAACCGTTTTTGTAAAATCGTTTTTATTAAAAAAAACTATTCATTTAATTTGAATTAAGCCGCAGATAAAAATTATCTATTAGAATAAATTCATTTATTTTATTCCAATAAAGTTGATTTTATATAAAGAAGCCATTTATCCGAACGCGAAATGCAGCGGAAAATAACAACAACGAAGAAAATTAACATGTCCACTCGACTTTGATTACAGTCGCAAGTTTTTATGACCTGAAGTTTTTACGTCATTTAATGAGCGAAAATTAGGCACATAGAATTAAGATCCAGGAATATTGCCAGCGATCAAAGATTGTTCCAGCGTGACTTCCGGTTTCTTCGTGCTGTGGCGCGATATATCGTTACTCGGGGCGTGAGTCGATGCAGCAAAGAGATTATAAAGAAGGATTGAATTTGCATTCTGGGTCGTACGAGATCCGTTGTTAACGACTGTCTTTAAACCTAGATTTTATGGGGTTCTGTCTTGGAGGGACGGATTGTCAAAATAATTCGCTGAAAAAAAACGTGAGGAATTCACACGTATAAATTTCACAGGAAATCCCAGCGCAATCGCTAGGAAATTCGATTCAAAATTTTATCACTTTTCATTTCAATTTGGTGAGTGATGTTGATTTCGATAGTTCGTAGTGAAGATTTTATTGAAACTCAAACTTGATTTTTCGATTTTTCAATGTGAACAAATGTCTCACTAATTTAAATTAAAACTATTAATTAAAATTTACATCATTGTAAAAATTATAAAAACGAAATAATTCTTTATTTAGAACAAATGAATCGTTTTTTTGTTTCTGATAGAAGATCC